GTCAGCTTGCTTTGTTTACAAAGTGCGTTGATTCATTGATTCATTTGACTGCAATTCTCAAAAGGTCATGAGTCCGGGCTGGGGTTCGAGTCCAGCCGGAGACAGACTTCCGCTCGCGCTCAGAAGCGGCACCTTTGAAAACTGAGCTTCGACGTCTGCGAATTGACAGCTTTTCTCTTCACTGCAGGGGCGTAATTTGCTTTTCAGGCTTAGGGGCTGCAGCCCCCCCCCCCCCCCCGCCCCAACTTTGAGAGCAAGCCGGCCAAATCTGGAGGGAAACGTTGTGTGAGAATGTTTCATTATTTTCACGGCTGAGACCCACCAACTCACTCCGTAAAACTACATCCCTGCTCTAATCCATTGTTTCAATCTAAACTACCCACGTATGGAAACCGATCAATGCCTTGCCAGATCGCCTGCGATATGGTTCTGACAGAAAGCAATGCTCACGGTGATTCTTGGATGTGATCGCGAGCGACATTTCGCAGGGTTTCAAAGTGTTGAAACTTCGTGTTCCTAACTCTGTTCCCAGTGACAATAAGCAGATAACGAAGTTAGAAGTTAAAAGCAAGGCACCACTTATACCATCAACAGTGGTACAATACCTGCCAGGGTCACTGATCCCCCTTTCCTGGCTCACCATTTCAACACGCATCCCCGAAATGCCGCGTTTGTCCGAGACAAACTGCACGCATTAGCTGCGGCAGGCTCAAGTGTCCCCCTCTCACCCTCGAAGCAGCCTTGGCCGAGGAACTATACAAACCCAAAGAAAAAAAGTCCAACCTAAAAAGCTCGGCAAAAACAAACATCTAAAAATGGAAAAAACCCAGGCCAGTTACAACCGCGCTCTTAAACTTTCAATTCTATGAAGGTCCGCTTGCAATCCGGAGGCGGTGATCTCCGCCATGGAGGTCCGGCTGATTGCAAACGCATATTTTGTACAGATCGTTTATTGGCCAGCTGAAATGTCGATAAAAATGTTAACGATACAGACATAGCTTTTATGGGTAAGTCTGATACTAAGCTTAGGGACTAATGACATCCTCACACGTGCCTTCTTTCCAAGCATATGTCTACCTGGTCCTGAGAATGAAATGTACACCATGTCTCGTTTACTTTTTTGAAGCCTTTCGGCTTAACGTAGAATTGTGTTGAATACATGGACCGTGAGATGAATGAGTCTCACCTGAGAGTGGGACAATTTTTCAACATGAAGGGCCCAGCCAGGAGCAGTGTTCGGGAACCCAGGTCTACAGCTGTCGACCGAGACTCACTGAAGTATCCCATGAACTAGCTTTAATCACTTCGTACGTGCATCGCTACGCCACCAGTCTATGCGACATGAGCGAAAGAGAGAGGTGGAGCTAGGAAGGTAGAGAGAGAGCGAGAGAGAGAGAGAGAGAGAGAGAGAGAGAGAGAGAGAGAGAGAGAGAGAGAGAGAGAGAGAGAAAGAGAGAGAGAGAGAGAGAGAGAGAGAGAGAGAGAGAGAGAGGAGAGAGAGAGAGAGAGAGAGAGAGAGAGAGAGAGAGAGAGAGAGAGAGAGAGAGAGAGAGAGAGAGAGAGAAAGAAAGAGAGGGAGCGAGAGAAAGAGAGAGAGAGAGAGAGAGAGAGAGAGAGAGAGCGAGAGAGGGGGGGGGGGGGAGGGGGCAAGTCAGTGCGAAGACAGGGCGCGAGCGATGCAAACGGTAACGTGATGTCCCACTACACTGGCCTGAGTGCCCGCAGCAACTGCTCACTGGCCTGAGTGCCCGCAGCAACTGCTCACTGGCCTGAGTACCCGCAGCAACTGCTCACACGTAACTAATCGGACCGAATAACTACATACGCCATTCCACCGCGAAAATGTCCCACAGTGCTGGGATAAAGCTGGTGCGGAAGGACAAGGACGTCACGTGCAGACTGGCAATAAATGGATCTGCCCGTCCAGCAGCTCTCAGTTACAGAGCCGCGGGATCATACCGAAATTTCCCAGGGCCAATTCTTATTGTGATCGAAGTCATTTCTCCGAATGGATTGTCAATAATTAGGGAATTTGGCCTTCGCCACGTTAAGCTCCACGGAAGTTGGTAGGCCATACCCTCCTGGACCGGGCGTTTCGGTGTCTACGCCCGACCGCTCAAACAAATGCTAGATCTGACTCCGGTTGGCCTGGACAGAGCTCTGACGTCATGCAGGTGTTCTGGTATTCTTAACGCTATGCTAGCTTATTTTAAAGCATTTGCCACGAGCATGTGCAGCAGACACGAGGGTGAAAAGAGTCAATCTACTCCCGTGACTTACCGTGCAAGGTCCATTGTGTATAGAGAATTGGCGTGCCCGCGTCGCATGTAGAGTTATCTTTGATTCCATTTCAAGGGAATCGATTCCATATCCGGCATAAGGAGCATGACGTGCAGCCGGACTCTGACTCGACTGGCACCTCTCAACGGAGTTAAATCTGGTTCCGGTACAAGAATAAGTTGCTTAAGTCTAGGATCGACCGCGATGAAGTCGATTTTGGCGACAGCCATGCAAGGGACAAAGCGTTCTATAGGCCTCATAAAAGTTAACATAGAAAATTGAGCTTAATAAGAGGGGCACATCTGGTTATGTTACTCTTCTAAACTGGCATACTTCCAATGCATATCGTTCGCTCCGCTTCTTTTTGCGTCCATTCATCGCAGTCCATTCATCCTGCAAGCTCACCTCCGGCTGTGACTCAACACGAAATGAGAGGAGTCTATGCTACATTCACCGAGCAAAAGTTTGGTTGATTCCAGAGTCAATTAATTCCATCCTTGCCTCGAGTGCAGCTCATGTAGGGTCACATGACAGCAAAAAATGTCTAAACCACAAGATCTCCGACTCACTGCTCAATCTGACCAGCATCGTATGCCCTCACGTCATCATGCGTATGGAATTAGCATGCGTTTGCAGATGGAAAATGAAGGTAACCGAGGACGACCCTGGCGAGGCCAAGAGGGTAAGACAAGTCAAGGTAAGACTGAACAACCGAGGTTAACCTTGTTGTTGTAACCGAGGATGAGGTTAACCCTGGCGGGACGGGTGCCTGCCGCCCTTCACAGGTCGAGAGACCTTGTTGTTGTAACCGAGGATGAGGTTTACCCTGGCGGGACGGGTGCCTGCCGCCCTTCACAGGTCGAGAGACCTTGTTGTTGTAACCGAGGATGAGGTTAACCCTGGCGGGACGGGTGCCTGCCGCCCTTCACAGGTCGAGAGACCTTGTTGTTGTAACCGAGGATGAGGTTTACCCTGGCGGGACGGGTGTCTGCCGCCCTTCACAGGTCGAGAGACCTTGTTGTTGTAACCGAGGATGAGGTTAACCCTGGCGGGACGGGTGCCTGCCGCCCTTCACAGGTCGAGAGACCTTGTTGTTGTAACCGAGGATGAGGTTTACCCTGGCGGGACGGGTGCCTGCCGCCCTTCACAGGTCGAGAGACCTTGTTGTTGTAACCGAGGATGAGGTTAACCCTGGCGGGACGGGTGCCTGCCGCCCTTCACAGGTCGAGAGACCTTGTTGTTGTAACCGAGGATGAGGTTAACCCTGGCGGGACGGGTGTCTGCCGCCCTTCACAGGTCGAGAGACCCATTGTTCCTCGCTATCTCTAAAACTTGACAAGAAAGGACTTATGAACGGGAGAGCTGGGCAGGCATACCACAACTTACTAGACTAGAACTGATGATGTGAGAACCAGATGTTATGGCTAAGTGGAAAGAAGCATCGGAGAATCGCATTTCAGTGTCCATGAAGCATTTTGCGTCCTGCTCATGCTCCAGAAACCACAGAACGATGCGGATGTGCTGACTTAAGGGTTTCTTCGATCCTTAGCGAAAATTGGCCAGTGGCCTAAACGTAACCCGGGATCACCAACGTGAGCAGCGTAGCAGCGACGCATCCGTACACATACTTGGCATGAGTTCAGTGCAGGCGGGGGAATCTGCTGATCGGACGTGCGGTGCACCGAGCGCCGCTCTCGTGGGCGGTGGCCGGCGGCGGCCAGCGGCCGGGCCGGAGCCTGTCGGCGACCGCGTCGGCCCATGAGCGGCCGCCGCACCTGTGACGTCAGTGCGCCCCCGCCCTCGGCCGCCGGCGGCCAGGTGCGGCGACCTGTATTGTTTCGCGGCGTCGGTACACGCCCGGACATCTGGTCATATATTCGGGCGCCGACCAATGGGCGGGCGGCGGCGCTGGAGCGCCACGCCCCCCGTCCAGCCGCGCCGAGTCGATAGGCGGCGGCGCCGGGCCGGGCGGGACCGGCCGGCCGCCTGCAGCGCGGCACCGCAGCGCAGAGCTGCAGCCTCGCCGTTGGCCTGCGCACGTGCCGCCCGCGCCCGCGCCAGCGTCAGTGCCCGGCCGCCGCGGCCTCGGCACATTTATACTGACGGCGGTCAGTGTCGGCACGCTGCCAGATCGGCGCTGCCAAACTCGTATCCCGCAGTACGTCAAAACTACCCCAATAGTATGTAGATTAATGTGTCGGCGGCCAGCGCAGAGGGCGGCGGCGGCGGCGGCACTCGAGTGACGCACGAGAGCGGCAGGCGGCTGGCGCCGCGCGGCAGTGTGTGGCGGGCCGGCGACGACACGGGCGGCCCGGCGGCCTCGTCGGACGTGCAGTGGTGGCCGGCGGAGGCGGCCGGCGCCGGCACCGTGGCGCTCTCCCGGCGCCGAGAGCTGGATAAGCTGTGGACGTCGCAGTGCTATGGACAGACGGGCACGCCGGCCATGATGGCGGACGACTACGGCCTCGACTACGGCTTCATGAACGAGCTGCAGATGTCGCACGCCGGCTTTGGCGAGCACGTGGCCGCGCAGGGCGTGCCCGTGCAGGGCCACATGATGTACGCCGGCGGCGACCCTGGCCTTGACGAGATGATGTTCATGGCGCACCCGGGGCCGCTGAAGACGCAGCTGCACGCGGCGGCGAGCACGCCCGGCAGTCGGCCGGACACGCCGGCCGGCAGCTCGCCGCAGGCCGGCCTCACGCCGTCGCCCACCTACGCGTCGCTGCCGAGCCACGCGGCGCCGGCCCAGCTGCCGGCCGCCTACATGGCGCACCACTGCGCCGAGCTGGAGAGCAAGCCGCCGCGGCTGGACGAGCCCGGCTGGATGGGTGCCGCTGGCCTCGCCTACCAGGTGCCCAAGCAACCGCTCGACCTGCGCGCCACCTGTGCCGGCGAGCTCGACCCGCGCTGGCTGCAGCAGCAGCACCACCAGCATCAGCAGCACCAGCAGCACCAACAGCACCAGCAGCACCAGCAGCAGCAGCACCAGCAGCAGCAGGCGCAGCAGCAGGCGCAGCACGGCGCCGGCTCGCCGAGTGGGCCCCAGCAGCGCGCCTTCGGGGTGGGCCTGGCGGCAGGTCGCGTGTTCCTGCCGCCGCCGCCCGGCGGCCGTCGCACGCCAGACCACATGCAAATCGACGACGAAGAGCTTGTCTGCATCACGGTGCGCGAGCTCAATAAGAGGCTCAATGGCCTGCCCAAGGACGCCGTGGTGAAGATGAAGCAGAAGCGACGCACGCTGAAGAACCGTGGCTACGCGCAGAGCTGTCGGCAGAAGCGGCTCAAGCGCCAGATCTCGCTCGAGTCAAACATCCACAACCTGAAGGAGACGATAGCGCAGCTCTGCCACGAGCGCGACCACTACAAGCAGCTGGCCGAGCAGCGCGCCAAGGAGCTGGCGGCGGCGACGCTGCGACCCGTTAAGCACGAGCGTGCCGCCGGTGAGGAGATGCGGCGCAGTCCCGAGCGGCCGCCGCCGCCGCCGCCCGAGTTCTTCCAGCCCAGATGATGGTAAGCGGCGGCCGTCCGACCCGTCTGCGCAGCCGGCCGAGCCCGCACCGTCGCCGCCGGCCGGCGGCCGCGGCCACAGCGCTCCCGCCGCGTCACCGGCGCGCCGCCTGTCATAATGTAAATATACCTGCCGATGCTGGCCGCTGCCAGCGGCGGCCGCCACGTGCCTGTGGCGAGCCGACCGGCGGCGCTGCGTGTCTCAGTGGCGCCTGGCACCTCGGCGCGTCGCTCGAGCCCGCCGCAGCCGCCGGTTGAGGCAGGCCCCCGTTACGCGGCACGTGCCCGCCCGGCTCTGCGGAGTCCGGCTGGACTTACGGGTGGCACGCTGTTGGCAGGGCCGTTGGATACAAAGTCACGTTCTTGGTTGACACCGGCCGGCGTCGCGTCTGTTTAGTGGCGTGTCGGCCTTGGTATAGACGTGGCCCAGCTGAACACGCCGCCATTCTTTTTCCTGCCGATCACGCCGTGTTGACGTGATTGACGAGAGCCGGCGGCCGGCCGCACTTGTTCGCCCGGCGGCTGCTTCTGCGTGGTCATCCTTCAGCTCAGACTGACGTTTTTGGGGGGGGGGGGAGAGCGGTTCGTCTGGCGCCAGATCGGACTTGCTGATATGGATCCCAAGTCCGCGCTTCTTAGCGACTGGTGGCATGTCTGCACGTGATGGAAAACTAAAACGTATCCGTCAATGTGGTGGCGCGCCGTCCAGGGGTTGGGATCTGGATCCGGTGCCCTCCGGGATGCCCGCCTAATGGATCTGAAAGTAGCAGAGGGGTACGGTGTTTCATGGTCCTCCTAATGGAGCTTGCATACAACTCATGACTGTTATGAAGTGACTATGCAGAACCCCATCTCACCGAGTCTGGCTCATGTCAAAATAGTTGTGCTGCAGGAGGCGTCCTTGCTTATACTGGCCAAAGCAACAACCACACCCGCTCCAAACACCGAGCTGATGAGTCGTACAACAAGCCGGAACGTTGGCGATAATGGACGCGTTTTCAGCCCTCCGGTTGAATTCATCGAACCATCTGATAATTGGCTGCTTCCTATTACGATTACAAAAGAATAACCGCTGAGGGAAATCATAATTTTTACGTCGTTTCGCAACATTTGTCAACCTCTCAAGTACTGCAGCCCCCCCCCCCCCCACCCCCACCCTCAACACGCCTTAGCGGCTCACCCAAACCACGGTTAATATAGGTCAGCACATCACCCCTCCCCGCGTCGCTGTGTTTACCAGAGTTCTCCGTCCGACCCAGCGTGAGCGTGACACAAAGCTAGCCTGCGGCGGCCCAGCACCCAAGCCGCCTCGATCCCTTACCGCCTCGAACCCGAACACCACGCCCTCACGCCTCGTCCTCCCCCCCCCCCCCCCCCTACCAGGCCGTGACCAGCCGTGCGGCGCCTGTGTCGCTGCGCCGGGCGTGTCAGCCCCGGCACGCCGTGCCGCGGCCCGTCATTGTGCCGGCGCCGCCGATGATGCTGGCTGATCGCGACCGATACGAAGCGGCCGCCCAGTCTTGATACGTCACACACACAGCCAGACCCAGGCAGCGCCGGGGGGGGGGGAGGGGGGAGGGGGCTGGCGCACGCCACAACACGGCCTCACTGGGCAGTGGAGAACAGGGGAAATAATAAAAATCACCTCAGAAATAGTCTCTTTGGCAGTCCCGTTTACCGACGGCGGTAACTGCGCCAGAGCTTAATCATTCGTGTGGAGAACCTTATGGAGGTGGGCACCTGGGTACCTAATTTAGAACCCGCAAATAACTTTTGCCATAACGCCGTCTGGAGTCAAGCTCCGACCAGACGCGTTGATTACGTCACTAGGCGTGACGCACCCACAGCCTCCCCTTCCTCTTGGGTTTGTTTAAATGATTATCTCCGGAGAGGCGGAAACCTCCGCTTTTGCTTCTGAGTTGACGCCATTTAAAACAATGCTGAACAGTTGAGGCGGACGCGACATGCTTTGCTCTAGGCTCGGTGAGATTCCCCAACGTTACCGCAGTGTGGACGACTTGGCGAAGGAGCTTCGCCAGCGGCCGATTCTGTTGTGGTGCACCGGGTTCGCTGCGATAACCCTCGCGATGTCGTTAGTACTGGGGCCATGTGCAATGCATGTCAATGGGCGTCTGACCGTGGCTGTACTCTGCCAATGGGACTGGGCGCGCGGCGTCTGGGGTGGCGACGAGGCCTCTTGTGGAATATTCCGGACTGTTGCGTACGCCGTGTGTCGTGTCTGTGCATGTGTGTGTGTGTGTGTGCGTGTGTGTGTGTGTGTGTGCGTGTGTGCGTGTGTGTGTGTGTGTGTGTGTGTGTGTGTGTGTGTGTGTGTGTGTGTGTGTGTGTGTGTGTGTGTGTGTGTGTGTGTGTGTGTGTGTGTGTGTGTGTGTGTGTGTGTGTGTGTGTGTGTGTGTGTGTGTGTGTGTGTGTGTGTGTGTCGTGCGGAGCGTGCCCGTTCCTCTATCGTCTGTAAGCTAGCGCTGGACGCCTGCGGCGGCGGCAGGTCTCCGCACCAGACCGCGGAGCCCGCCCGCGGCCGGTCAGCGCGAGCCGCGGCGCCGTGGGCTGTGACCCTGCAGCCAGGGCACCGTTGCGTTTGACCCCGAGACGCGGTCGGACGCCGACTTCGGCTGCCGCCGGGCCGCTGACGCCGCCAGCCCGCGCCGCGTGCTGCCGCGGGCGGGGTCAGGCGGGACGCCGCGCCGCCTCTCGTCGTCGACCGCCCGCCAGCCGGCTGGGCTGGTTCGGTTGTTATCTTGGGTCGACACTGTACATGTATAGTGTATACGCTGTCGTGTGGATCTCGGTTGGAGGTCTCCACGGGTTACTGTGTGCGTTATGAACAACTAGTCTTATTTTATAGACTATTAGTTATTATTAGCTGTGTTAGCATTCCGTCGATGTTCATCCAGCCTGTGGCGTAGACAGCATTGGTGGCTTGTACTTCTTCGGTCCAGTAAAACAGTTGCGGCATGTGTTAAAATAGGGATATATCATAGACATCTGTAGATCGTTTAGATACAAATAAACCACACACCTGAACTGTTGCTTTTATATCAACAAATGGAAATGGATGGTCAGAAAGTGCAGGCAAACATCCTTTTTTTAGTCCTGTCCTGAGAACCTTCTGTTCTCATGCAGTCGGCTAAGGTCCATGTTCTCTTTCCCATAGTTCAGTTGGATAGCGCGTCTGCATTTCGATTTCGTTCGTCCGTGAAGGGTGGTTTCGATGGCTTTTGATCGCTATCTTTTTCTGCTATTCACCAGGAATTTCATTACCGGATAGTGGGGCGCGGCTCACCCAAAAGCGCTGTTTGCGGTGGGCACTGATTAAAAAAACGATCAAAAGAATGCATTCGAGTCCCTCAAAAATAATCCGGGCGTAAATGGAAATGACGTTGTTGGTGTAAGACGTCGGTAATGAAGTTAAGTTCGGTAGCAAACCGGAAAGATGGCCACCCTTTTCCTGTATTCGTCGTATTTCTGCGGGTAGGGTCCCTTCAGCGTATTCAGTATTCGATAACTCAGCAACGCTGCGTTTGTCCTCCGTCCCAAGGTCACGCCCAGTGGGGTCCAAGAAGGGTTGGAAATGTGCCGAATAAACATTAAACTTTTTGCCGGTTCGGTGTTTGGTGGTGACTGAAGTCCGCTCCGAATCTGGTGGCTAATCTGCCATTGCCCTAGCTTGAAAAGCTCAGAAAAAAACACGAAAAAACATTAAGTTTAATCATATCCCCTCTCGTATGGCATGGGCTCAGAACATTTAGGAGAGTCGCTTAAAGAATATGCGAACCGTTCGGACCCACTCTGTCTGGAGACACAAAACACAGTGACTGCACGGAATCCCAGACACGAGGCGCTCATATCAAACCTCTTTACCATTTTACCGACCAGGGATCTCTCTGTAGCTTAAAGGCATGTTTGCCACGCATGCAGGAACCTGCTGTCCTTTCACAGTTTTAGTAATCTTGATGACATACGCATTCTGAGCTTCTCCAGAACATGTTCTCATGGGTTAAAAAAGCGTTAGTATATGACGGAGGTTCTATGGACCTATTGAACGTTCCCAGTGGCTTGCTTTTCGCTTCAGTAAAAATATTATCCCTCTTTTTTTTGGTTTCTGTATCCTGAAATAATTCCATGACTTCAACGGATTGTTTTAGGTACTTTTAGTTAAAGAGACTGCAAAGTACAGCCCTTGTAACTAAAAGTGATAATAATTTTTCAACCGCAAATGATCCCATCACATTTTTTCGTACAGGGCTCAACTTTACCATGACTCGTCGGGCTCGGCAGCGGCAGATGAACAAAGCTTCTGACACAGTGCCATTTGTCTTCGGGCGACGGTCCCATTGCGTTTTCCCAAATTTGTTCGAAGCACTTCCTTATACCACTACAAGGTATGGCCTCTAGAAAAAAAAAATCTGAAGGCGTATAATTATCAATGCGCGCAGAATGAACCGTCGGCCAAAACATGATCGGCAGAATGAACCGTCGGCACTCATGCCCATCACGCATCAGGAAACGATGCCACATAATATGATGTTGACCATTCTTCCATAGGGCCCAAGCGTCTCTTTAACGAAGTTCCTACAACTTTTGAAAGAGTATGCTTGCAGCGCCTAGGATATCATTCGAATTAGATTTCCCAGTAACTTATCCGTCAGCTTCGCCAACCAATGCTGGATTGATGTTTCCAACCCACAACACGCATCACCGCGGAGGAGCGCGTTTTTCGAAAGATATATGACACCTTAAAAGCGATTTTGGAAAGAATTTCAGCCAATTTTTCCTGAGAACAACTTCGAAGTGGTTGTCTCGGTGACCATCAGCTGACCGAGGAAGTAATCCCCCTCTGCTGGTTACATCGCTGTAGGCAATATCCGCGGCAAGGTCTTAACACGCGCTCGGATGGGGGCCAACTTGAGCCTCCAAAAGTTTCCCAGAATGGATTCCGAAAGGCGCGGTGTAGTCGCGCCAAATTTTGCGTGCTGTGGACAATTGAATAGCGGATTGCCTGGCATCATAAA